TAAATTTTTTAAATCATAAAATTGTTTAAATATTTTCGACAAAAACCGTTGAAAATCCACAAAATTAGTATATGGTGTAAACAATTGCAGGCTGTTTATATAAAACGTGTGCTGTGTCTCACACAATTTGGTAATGTCATCTAAAACTCAAAAGATAACTCCTGCAATTGAAACAAAGGTGATCCAATCTCTAAAATTATAAAGTCTAGTTTTCTAAAAAAAAATAAAAGTAAAACTATAAATTATAAAGTATAATGTTCCATTTGATCTTAAATGCACAATTTCAGTGTTCAGAATAAGTAGTCATGCTGGGAAGTAAAGTTCTTTATATTGTAAGAGATCCTTTATATAAGTATGCGCAGGATGTAACTCCTGTTATATATGCAAAACTAATTGCTTTTTCAAGACCCTGATATATGAACATTACACAAGGGACAAATAGTTTCATATCTGGGAGACTTATAGATATATGAGACTTATAGAAAGAAGTCTCATATTTATAATATTTCATGCAAATAATTGAAAAGTGTGACTCTGTTTTAGATTCGGCACCTAACAAATTCGAGTTTAAACTTAAAGAAATTATGTTCATAGAATAGTTAAAACCTGGCATCAATAAACAAGTTAACCTTGTCCAAATGACATTTTTTGTTTAGCTTTCTTTTAAAAAAAAAAAGATTTCTTTTCTTTCAAAAAAAAAAGATACTGCGTATCTGTTTTTTTTTTGCGTATCTCTATCTTTTTGTTATTTCTAGTTCTTTAGTATGACATGATAAACTTTTTAATTGGTCTTATTTTATTTTTATAATTTTTTAAGTAAAAACTATAGTATAATTTTTACAAATTTCATATATATATAATCCAAATATATATTTTATAATCCAAAGAGAGATCACGCGGATCTACTCACCAATATTTTATATAAACGTATACGTGAAGTAAAGAATATAAAATCAACAAAATAAGTAAGAATAAACTTTTTACAAATATAAATAAGAAAAGGCAAAGTTATTAATTTATATTATTAATAATAACATAATACGTCTTCTAATGAAAAAATTAGGGTTTTTAATTTACTTTTAAAAAAACGAAAAGTAATGGGTAGTTCGAAATCAAAATTGGGCAAAACAATTTTATTCCAAAGGTGTGGTGCCCGATAGACAATACAAAATTGATTAAAGTTTGTTTGAAAGAAAGGTTCATTTAAAAAATCAGTATTTCTCAAATTGTATTTGTTGATGGGTTTCAGAGTAAAAATATCTTTGAAGACAGATTGAGACAAGTCATTTTTTCACATGTATACAAAGCATAAAACATTATATATATTTAGCTCGTATATATTTAAAATTCTCATTTCAATAAAATAATGTTTTAAACGGATATTTATATGTAATAGCAAAAAAAAGTTGTCTTTTAGTAAGTGTTCAAACATTGAAAAAATAATTTTCAAAAATTTCAATGTCTTCAGCTGCCTCATTGGGGACAAAGTTACTAAAAAGAGGTATTTTTTATGACAAATTGAGTGTTTTAGTCAATTATTTTTTTGATTAAAGATTATACTTTTTTGTCAAATTCTTTCAGAAAAAACTGTAATAATTAAAATGAATGACATATATGTCATTCTTTTTTATCTAATATGAACATATTTCGATGACCTTTTAAGGTTATATATATTTTTAAATGCGTGACACTTTCGTGGGGAAAAGGGGGGCGGATTGGGATCAATGCACTAAAAAAATTTAAAATGTCAATAAGTACTACTTTAAACACCGACTTTGTAAAAATAAAAAGAGGTCTTTTTGAAAATAATTAGGGGACATGGTTCTCTGCGCTTCCCCTTCCCTCTCTCCGTCACTGTGGCAGATTAGCAAGTTAGTAAGTCAGCAAGTCTATAACTAGTTAAAGGTTGAAACAAAATTATCTATTCGTTAATTATTTTAACTTACACAATCAAGTTTTAGAAAATCTGTCACTACGCGCTACCAATTTATTGGTTCGGAAGCACGATATTCTGACTTTGTGTTAAACACTTTGAGACGTTATGAGACGTGCATGTAAACGCGATCGAATAAAACCATCTCGAGTTTTTTCTCCACATACAGCCAGCGAAGCCTCATCAGCTGTCAACGGTGGCTCGGTTATTTTATTTTATTTCCAGTTGATGAGTTCTATGTAATCATGTGCATCTAAGTTAAGCTTTGGTAAACTGAAAGTACGCAGTGTGTGATCTTTTTCCTGTCGCGTTTTAAGAATGCGCCTTAATCCTAAATCACGAATTTGTTGGCGTTTGTTACTAACCATTGCTAGTAAGAGATTTTCTGAATGAGCAAAATAGCCGTTAAGTTGTAATACAGGATCTACTATATCTCGCATGTTTGCATGCAAAAGACAAACCAACCATTGCAACGATTTGTTATATTCTTTTTCATCAACCTTATTGCGCTACCTTTAATTCCTGTGTTTACGGCAGTTCCGTCAGATCCAACAGCTACAATCTTTTTAACGTCAATATTTTTGATAGTTATAAATTTGACTATAGAACTTTTTATCAAATAGGCAGACGATCCAGATGGTGATAAATGCCCAAGGTATTTAGACCCTGGTTTGTCTATTAAAGAGATGTGCTCTTGAGTAATACTTCGTCAATAGAACTTTAACCCTTCCTTGATACCAAATTCCTTTCAACTTTAACCCTTCCTTGATGTTGTCTTTTCGTCCTTCAAAATAAATTTCTCGAGCTATTTTTGAACTTTTAGAAGTTTTTAGTTGATTACGTTTTCTCTTACGCTTCCGTCATATTTTACTCAGATCAACAACATAAGAGGTATCTTGTTGATTAACAACACTAAAGTCTTCCAAAACTAACCATACCGGTCACAGACGTTTGCTAATGCAGCAAGTGGTTGCCGACATTGAAAATACGAAGAACTAATAATGCCAATGGAAGAAACATCGGAAATATTACGTTTATTAATGTAATTATCATCTTCATCACTTTGAGCTGTAGATTGACTTTCAAAATCACCAACCGTAGACACAGACAAGGCATTACGATGCTTATTTCTACGCCGCTGCTCAAAACTTTTTTTTTTAAACTTCATGGCCAGTTTATTTGATGCAAGTTTATCAACATTGCCAATGCACATCAATTTGAATGTTCTCTGATCTTGGATAAAATCTTGCTCTGCAGGAGGAACCTTGCAAGTTTTGTTACATACACACTTCTCAAACACACACTTATAGGTGCAGATGTCAAACAATTTATGTCTCGCATCTTCTTTTAAAGCGTTTACTTTGCTATCATAATTACTGCGCTTGATGTTTCGAAATAGTTTTCTGTATTTATCATGATAGGAGTGAATCACCTTTAATACCCGTGTATGAGTAACCATCGGTTTTAATCATATTTTTTCAACAACTTTAGCAACTTTTTCAGAGATTTCTGTTATAGTAGGTTCTTTTGTAGCAGCTGTTGGTTTCAGTTGATTTTTTACAAGCAAGTAATGTTTCATTACATCTTCATATGTTGGTAAAACAACTTGCGACATCTCTTTAGGTATGCCAAAGACAGGACAAGTCAGCATCATACTCGTTCTCACTAACCTAATGGCCATATTAAAACTTGTTCCATAATAAGCAAACTTTGTAATAGATTTATAAGTAATTATTGATTTATACATTAATCTAGCAAGCCATAAATAAAACTAAAAGCTAAATTAAAATATCAAACATTAGTAACAATTTCTTGATATGCAAAGAAATATATTGAAAAGTATCAAAAGAAATATTATGAACCACTTAGATAATTATTTCTAAATAATAACTAAAAAAAAGTTAATAAAAGACATTTTACTTCAATATAACATAAAGTTAGTAGTTTAAAACATTCAATTTTAAACATTTATTGAACAGTTATAAAGGTGAAATAAACAAGATAACCAAAACAGGTTAGGTGAAACAAATGGCAAATTTAGACTTTTTAGGGCCCTTTTTATGTGTCAGAGCGTGAAAATGACTGAAAAAAATTTTTTTTTTTTCAAAAGTTGATTTTAGGTGCCCTTAGACCCAAGAAGTCCTTACGATCTTATCACAGAGCACCGGGGCTATAGCCCCTAGCCCCAGGCTCCCCAAGTATATAAAGATTATGTATATAAAGATTATATACAAACATATGTAACGTAACGATATTATGGACTTAAAAAAATAAAGATTTTAAGAAAGCTAAAAAAAAACATCACCGGGAGAAAAAAATCGTTGCGTATGTATGATGATTGAGAACTTATATTATTATTGTGCTCAGGTAATTAGTCCTTATAAGCTGCAGATGGTCTGAAAAAAAAGTTGTCTGAAACTTAATAAAGAAAAAACTATATTAAATAAATAAGAAAGTCCTGCTACTCAAGAAGGTGCTGCTGTGGAGGCAAAAAAAAAAAGCCCGTAGCTCACGGTGGTTTAGTAATAGACATTTATTATGCGCACGCGCTATATTTTATTCAAATGTTGGTAAACAATAATGTTCGCAAGTAAACAGAAAACTACTAATAGAGTTGTCTAAACTTTAAATTAGATTTATTTGTAGATATTTCTAAATTGCCTATAAGAAATGATATTAAAACAATACTTTAGGTATGGTATGTGTCATCAAAGCTATCATTTAAATAATTTTACAAAGAGAATAGAAGTGGGACTAAATTAAAACTTAGCTATTTTTTAGGCGAAGTTTAACCTGTGCTTACATTATAGTCTATATTCTAAAGTTTTAAATTTTTTAGTGACAACCTCAATTTTTTTTTGAAAATATAATAGTTTGTGAATCATTTAAAGCAAAAATCAAAAACCGGTTACTTTTTTTTGTGATAATATAATGCTTTTAAAGATTGGTAAATTTTCGTTTTTTTTAAAAGGTTAAAAATGCTGACAGAAATATTATGGAGGCTTTATTACTGCCATTTATTATCTGTAAATCATTTTGCAGTATTTTATCGGATTATTTTTAGTATCTACAATTTTCTTTTTCTTGGTTTAGCTTTTTTTTGGTATTTTTTTACAGTTGGGTTGTTTTTTATGAAATGCTCATTCATTATGCTTCTTAATCTACCCACTCCTTTCATATGGCAGTAGATACTCTTCATACGGTTGATTTCAGCATGAATACTTTCTCCACCTTGCTCTCCATAAGTACCTAGTCCTACTCCCCATTTTCTAATGAAAGGTAATGCATGGTACTCCAGCATATGAAGCTTTGGTGTGATTGAAGCGTTTGGCCAGTTTTCACGAAAGTACTTCATGAAATCTTTGATTTGATTTTCTGTAACCAATATATATATATATATATATATATATATATATATATATATATATATATATATATATATATATATATATATAATATATACATATACATATATATATATATATATATATATATATATATATATATATATATATATATATATATATATATATATATATATATATATATATATATAACACAATGACTTAAAAAAAACAAAGATGAAGATCAAATAGTTAATGATTAATATATATATATATATATATATATATATATATATATATATATATATATATATATATATATATATATATATATATATATATGTATATATATATATATATATATATATATATATATATATATATATATATATATATATGTATATGTATATATATATATATATATATATATATATATATATATATATATATATATATATATAATACATACATATATATATATATATATATATATATATATATATATATATATATATATATATATATATATATATATATATATGTATATATTTATATATATATGTCTATATATATATATATATATATATATATATATATATATATATATATATATATATATATATATTTATATAACACAATGACTTAAAAAAGCAAAGATGAAGATCAAATAGTTAATGATTTTGTCTATTTATTTTGTTCTGCCAAAAAATAACATATGACATACCAAGGTCCTGTTTCTTATCTTCATTGAACTGATTGCAGGAGTTAATAAGCTTGTGACAAATTCCAAATTTAGAGAAGAGTACCTTGAAGTTTTTACAAATTTCAATAGTTTCTTTGTGTATATTAGTGTCATTGAACCCAAGTTCGACTACAAGGTTTGGTATGGAGTTGCAAAGTTCAAGAATACTTTTCTCCTAATTTAGTATATAAAATAATTGTGAAATATGTATCATATGTAGCAACTGTTGTTAATTACGTATTTAGTTATGTCTAATAATGTTAGTATAAGCCATCTATTCCACTTACACACACACACACACACACATACGCACATATATTTATATTGTATTGTACATTTAAATTTAGGTACACTTTGTTTTTAGTAAAGAGTAGATTTTATAAATTTAGGAAATATATATTAGATATATTTTACCTTTAACATTTTGTTAACATGATTACCAACAAAACTTTTCCCGTGGTATGCTTGTCTTTGTACTCCTAATGAATTAAGTACCTTATCTAGTTTTTTTACAAGTGGCCCAAATGATTTCTTTATATGGTCTGCTTCAAGCAGTATTTTCAATTCTGAGATTTATGATTAAATATGAAAAATTCAAAAAAATTAGATTGTATGTTATTTATTTTGTGTCTTGTCCAATTATTTTTTTTATAACTAATACTCGAAGGTCTTCTACTTATCTTTTTCTTTTTTTTTCTTCCTTTATTGGATTTAAAGCAAACACATTCAGTTAGATTACAATTTTCAGGCCATGATCTTAATTTTAGTTCAGTGTTTGAACCTTTTTCAATATTTCTTAATATTGAAAAGCATCTATAACACATTTTTTGAGGATGTATATTTGAGTGGTCTTTATCGATTCGGATAAAAAAACAAAATTCTATTCTAGCAATGTGTTTTGTTAAAAGAACACTATCATTATCTACACTTTCTCCACATATTCTGCATAATGTTTTTAGTTTTGTTTCATAAGACTCAGTCATTTTTGTATGTTTTTTTATTGCTAAAATATAAGATTTGATATACAAAATTTTTAAACTTAAAAAAGTAACCGGACTCTGATTTTTTTTTATTATAAAGTTGAAACCTTCTTCTTTTAAAATATGTACAGCTTTAAGGCATAAAAATTCTAATAAATGCCTAATTAATATGTTTTAGTAATTAGGATGACCATAAAATAATTTCCGACTTTCCCGCGTTTTTTATTACATAAAAAATAACAAATTTAAGTATTTCAAATTAATGTGTTTTCCTTGGCCATATATTTTATTAGTTTATGAATTTATATCTGGTATAAACATCTTCAAAGCAATGATATGACCTTTTTTATTAGGTTACGATAAAAAACCATAACAAAAAAAAAGTCAAAATTACGATGTTGTTGTTGTTTTTAAAGTAACGCATGCGCATAATAAATGTCCGGAAATGCTTAAACTTAAACCACCGTGAGCTAGAAAAAAATTTAAAACTTTCTTTTGATAAAAAAAAGCCCGTAGCTAGAAAAAAATTTAAAACTTTTTTTTGAAAATCAAAAGCTTTTTTAGCTACATTTATTTTTTTACTATAAATATATGCTACAGCTTTTTTTCAAAACGCCTTAATATGCTTATTACGTATTTCGAGAAAAACGCAATTGAAAAAAAAGTTATTTAAAATTAACTCTTTGTTAAACGCTTTTTGAAACGAATAATTTTAATGAATTTTTTTTCAAAAATTTTTGAAAATATGTATTTAATAATGTTTGTAGACATATAGACTAGCTTATTTTGAAAAAAAGTCAAAAATGATATTTTTAACCTTAAGGCGTTTTGAAAGACGGCTGCAGTATGGATGGATGCAACAAATATGTTAAAATGAGATAATTTGACGCAAAATTTAAAAGCTCTCAGCAAAAGCCACTAAACCAAAAAAATTAAAAATAATTGCCTAAAAATTTTATTATAGAGAAATTTTTTATTTTAGTGAATATAGTAAAAGCTTTATTGTAGCACTTGAAAATTTTAATTATAGCGCGTTGGTTTTTGCAAAGAAACGCTATATAAATCATTTTTTAATTTTAATACAAACTAATTTTTTTTTAACTTTGTTGCGATTAACCGTCTATATATAAACAATGTATATATAAACATATATGCTATTTGTTTATGTATATATATTGTTTATAAAATGTAAAAAATCCACTTATATAACGTTTTATTCAGGATCGTATGTAATATAAGTATACTTATATTACATACGATTCTAATAATTACAAGTCTTTTTTGCTTCAACTTTAGATTTGCTCCTCTCTCGATAATTTCTGATTTCTAAAGTTATGTTATCTGCTTCTTAGACCTTAAAAAATGATATTATGTTTATTTCAATTTTTTATAAAAACTCTATCTATTAAAGATATATGGAATATATTTTTATGGGATATATTATAATAAAGACATAAGTGGCCATCCATAAAGGACGTCGTCCAAATAGGGAGAGGGGGAGGGGTTGGAGATAAAAAGGACAAAAAAAAACAAGGAGAGGGGGGAGTATGTCAGAAAAGGACGTCATTTTATAGATTTTTTATTTTAGTTTAATTAATATGAAAAAATGAGTAAGTATATGTTTTTAAGAAGATAATGTATAAGCATACTTTTAATTTTATTTTTCAAAGGTGTAGCAGCAGATTTAAACATCATTGGGAGATCAAATAATTTTTGGAGAGTTTAATTTTGTTAGGGAGGGGCAAGATTTTATGACGTCCTTTTCAAGGGAGTATAGGGGAAAAATCTATTTTGACACCCTCTCTCCTTTATCACCAGTTGTTCACCAGAACAACTGGTGATAAAGGAGAGAGGGTGTCAAAAATTGGCTAAAATCGATGACGTCCTTTACGGATGGGTCCAAAACTATTTATTTATTACTATTGTAATAAATACAATCTCTTATCCGTGAAAAAGATATATCTGTACCAATTTTATATATTTTAATGCATTTGTATGCAACATAATAAAAATTAACAAAAAAAATGTAAGATAAATGCAAAAGGAAACTTGACGCATAAAGGTTTATTTTACCACAAATTGACGTCAATGCGCAAAATCTTTTTGGCTTAACTTTTAAATTAGCGTTTAATATTATTCTTTAGTTCTTAATCATAATCATAAGAATGAATTTTTTTTAATGACTATATTTTAGTTCTCTAAGATCTTCTTAGCAGTGGCGGAACTACTGGACGCAGAACCCTGCGTTGCAGGGGGGGCCTACCAGCTATAGGGGGCCCTCATATAAAAAAAGTTATACTCTCAATAATATTTATACTATAAAACTCTTTTCCGCAAAAAAAACATTCTTTTGCGGGGGGGAGCCCAAATTTTGAAGTTCCGCCACTGCTTCTTAGTATTTGTATATCGTTACATACAAAGGTCTGTAAGTGTAAATGTCTTTAGCACATGTTGAGTTTCCGCGCATTATATGGAATAATCGCGTCTATCTATATATTTACAAAATGAGAAAACTTTAAAATTTAATTTAAAATTTTTATTTTATTTTACATATAATCTTATATATCTATAAAATGAGAAAACTTTAAAATTTTATTTTAAATTTTCGAAATCTTTTTATTATTATTATTATTTTTAAAATTATTATTAAAATTATTATTTTTTTGCTATAAATATATAAGCAAGATTGAAAAAGTTTCAAAACTTATTACGCTAAGAGGATGTCTTAAACCTTCCAAAACAGCACTGATGACAGTACACCTACCCAGCCGGCAAATAACGTTGAAATATCGTTGAAACCTAACGTTGAATTAACGTTGGTTTAACGTTTAGAATAAAAGTTTTTTTAACGTTGATTTATCAACGTTAAATCAACGTTAGGTTCAAACGTTATATCAACGTTGATTCGACGCGAAAAAACGTTACAATAACGTTGAATTAACGTTGATTTAACGTTTAGAATGAAAGTTTTTTTCAACGTTGATTTATGAACGTTAAATTAACGTTAGATTCAAACGTTATATCAACGTTGATTCGACACGAAAAAACGTTACAACAACGTTGAATTTACGTTGATACAACGTTTAAAATGATAGTTTTTTTAACGTTGATTTCTCAACGTTAAACGACTGTAAAACACTTTTTCACCATCAAAATGTGCTATGTATGTCAAAATGTATATATGTATGTAAACGTGCTATGTGCGTCAAAATATGATCACCATCAAAACGTACTATGCATGTACATTAGTGTTGCTGTACATTATCAAGATATATAATGGATATTAAATCTATTCATAGTCTATACTTAGACTATTTAGAACTTTTTCAGTTTAGTTTAGTTAAAATAGCTAGGTATGATTAAAGAAAGAGACAAAACTTGTTTTATTCAAAAATACATATTCAAATATACACATATATTTACATGTAATTGAATAAAATCTACACAAATTTCTTCTCTTTTCCACCACCTTTTTGAAATAAAGCGTAATTTAGAAAGTCAAACAATGTTCCATTAACCGAGGGATCTTTTGGTCCATTGAATACAATAAAAGAAGCTGTAAATAAAAAATATATATTAAAAAAATCAAAAAGGGAAGATTTAAAAAATAAATAATGAATGGAAAAGTCTTACAACTTATGAAAGTATATCTTTTTCAACGCCATATAGATTAGTGTTCTTAAAACATATTTTTCCACCTTTGCCCTTCATATCCATGGAGGCCATATAACTTTTCGAAAATACTCTGAATTTTAAAAAAATAATATAACTGTTAGTTGGTTGTTAATGACTTTTTCAAATATTTAATTTAAATAAAACAACCTTTTTAATATGTTAAAAATAAATTAATAATCAAAATATAAAACATTTCTAGCATTGAAAAATAATTTATGTGGCCATTTATTAAAGGTTTAACGTCCATGTTTATACACTTATGGGGCTTGGACAGGGATCAAATAATGTCATTTGTTATGTTAAATAGCATGCATTTTCTAAAGCAATTTTTTACAATTGCATGCACTTTAAGGCGTTAACCAGTTTTGCAGAACGAGAATGGGTATTTTGAACATTATACATCCATCAAAAATTAAAAAAGGAAGAATTAATGAGGAGCTTTGATCAAATTTTTACCTCTTTAGAGGATAATAGAGGATTTTAGAAGTGGTTTTAAAAAAAGAGGACTTTAGAGGATTTTAGAGGAGCTGCAGACACCCTGATTATAAATAAGGTAATTCCACCAATTAACTGTAATTGATTTATCTGTAAAAAAACATGAAGTAAATCTAATATTATGCTTGTGGAGATATATTATATTGTGGAGAACCATCCAAACCACACAAGTGGAAAATTTGAATCCAAGTTTCCACTTGTGTGCAAATCTTGCATCCACTTGTCAACATTCTCATTATCACATTTTTCTTTTGTAGTTGTGAATTTAAAATTTTCACAATACTGTTTGCTTTCTTTTAGAATTGAAATAGTTATACAAATAGTTATATATTTTGTATCAACAAAAAAACTCTTCTTATCACATTATTTAAAAAATAATAATTGTAATATATAGATGTAATACCTGAAGAGAATTTAGTTTTTATTTGTATAAACTTGAGCCAATTCTTCTCTGCATTTTAGTGCAGTCAATGCTTTGGTACCTGGAAGTCGACAAACAGTTTTATCACTAATCCAATTAGATGGAATTACTTCTTCTTGTAAATCTTCATTCCAAACAGCTCCTTTCTGCATATTCAATTTTGAAAAAATTACATGAACTAATATAAAATAAAGAAACCATAATATAAGTGTGCTAACAGACCTAATTAAACTAGCTAAATTTGAACATTTTATAACCATAATACTTGCTAAACAATAATATTAGTAGACGATATATACAAAGATAAGATTTTCTTTATTTTATAAATTTATTATATTTTAAACTCATTTTTATTAATTTATTTATTACTCTATTATTCAGCAGAGTTCTGAATATATTATGTTCAATTAAC